AGGATCCCTTGAGCCCAGGAACTCAAGACTGCAGTGAGCTATCAATGCACCACTGCACACCAACCTGGGCGAAAGAGTGAGATCTTGTTTCAACAAAACAAAACAACAACAACAACAAATCAGTAATAGATCTTTCAGGTTCCACAATATAAGACATATGCATAATAAGACACATGGTTTTCTTTAAACTTATTTCAGGATCCATTAAATAATAAGTAATACCATGGCATATGTGAAGAGCAGCAGCTAGATCTGTAACAAGCAAAGAAGGTGACTGAATGAAGAAGTGTCAAAGAATAAAAGAGTGATAGATAAGGATGGAACCGTGGTAGAAAACCAGAAGAGTAACCAAGTTGGTGATCTTGGGAAAGCTTGTTTTTGAGCCTGTAATTTTAAACATTTTTCCAAACTCCTTTTCAGTTTGAGTCCTGAATCCATAAGTCTGAAATATAATTCTATTTGCTTGAAGTTCATACTCTAGGTGACGTGATGAAATCATGTGTACAACTGGGATAAATATAGAAATAATCGTATCTAGTAAAGCTACACAACAAGTTGGAAAAAAGACGAAAAATAACTAAAAGTCTGTTGTATATATCCTCACCAACTCACTATCAAAACCTGAAACCTAACGTAATCTGACATTACACCAAAATTGAGTTTTTATTTGCAGCAAGCACAACACCATTTTCTGAGAGATTTTATTCTATACTCTAAATATATCAGGTCTTATCTAAACTTTATTGATCAATGAGTTATATTGGGAAGTACACTGCTGCTCTCTCTTAATGGTGACCATGAATTTGAAAAATATTATATTCATATTTAATACCTTTTCATGGGAAAACATGATTCCAAAAGACTCATTTCCACCACTGGTACTCAAGAAATCTGCCTTCTAAAATGAAACACATTAGTGTTTTTTTGGGTACTAAAAACTCATATACAGTGCATTTACACAGGAACTTATCACTATGTGATCCTGATTTAATAGATCCATGAGGTTATAGTCACTCTGAAACAACTCAATGATAAATTACTCTATGAAACATTTTTCACAAACACATTGAAAGAAGAATATTGTTTCATGGCAATTATAAATTAAGGAGAAGCATTAAGGTGGAGAGAGAATTAGATGTATACATTTTTAAACTTAGAGAATGCATAAAACAATGAATAGCTAAGGCTTAAAGCAATGGAATTTTTGTTAAATTCATTTAACAAATGTTTCTTGGCCTGTCATATGTAAGACATTGTACCGAGCATGTTGAGAATACAAACACTAACCCAAACTTAATCCTTGACTACAAGAGACAGGAAGATGTGATGGTTGATTTATACATCAGCATGGCTAGACTATGGTGCCCAGTTGTTTGGTCAAATACTTGTCTAGATGTTGCTGTGAAGACGCTTTTGAGGTGATTAGCATTTATAATTAGTTGACTTTAAGTAAACAGATTACCCTCCATAATGTTTATGGGCCTCATCTAATCAGTTGAAGGACTTAAGAGCAAAGACTAAGGTTTTTACAAAAAGAAGGAATTCTACCTTAAGACTTCAACATAGAAATCCTGCTTGAGTTTCCAGCCTGCTCTATGAATTTAAGATTCAAGACTATGACTTCAACTCCTGTGTAAGTTTCCAGACTGACAGTCAGACCAGTAGATTTTGGACTTAAGACTGCAACATCAGCTCTTATCTGAATTTCCTTCTGGCTGGCAAATCCTACAAATTTTGGACTTGACATATCCCACCTGCAATTGTGTAAGCCAATTCCTTAAAATAAAACATATAGGAGATAGATAGAGAAAAAGATAGAGATAGAGATAGAAATCAAAAGACAGAAATAGAGGGAAACGTAGTGGTACAGGTAGTGGTAGCAGTAGAGATAGAGACAGAGAGAGATAGAAATGGAGAGCCTATTGATTCTGTTTTTCTGGATAAATATTTTCTGGTTGCATAATATTCAACAAATTTCTCATGAAATTACCTTGTAATTAGAAATATATTCTTAAGAGAATGTACCACCAAATAGCTTCCATACTCTGAAATTGCCATCTATCTTGTTTTTAAATGTAGAAAATATTGCCTTCAAGTAAAAATTATTTACTTCAACACTTATTCTCAAAGCATAACATGACCAATGCACTTCTCATTCTATTGGGATATACTTGTATGTACATGACAGTATTTGTGTATATATATATTCCTATTATTTAAGCTTATTTTATATTAAGGAATGAAAAATGGCAGAGTAATATAAAAGGAATTTAATTTACTCTAGTCTCTTTTCATATATATGGCATATAATAATTACATAAGAAATATATTTCTTTTATGTCATAAGTGTTTCTCCATATATTTTGTATTTAAAAATCATAAGCAGAAATTAGTTATAACAATTCCCTTTTTTTATATTATTCTTGGTGCTTTACAAAATGTTGGTCACCTTAAATTTTGAGCTGTATTTTAATTTCAACATCCAATGCAGTAAAAATGTTATAAGTGTTTTAAAAACCAAAACACTATTTGATAGTTTTCTCCCTTCTTAAAAATGCAAACAAGCTTTTCTTTTTACTCCTTTCATTACTCTTCCATAAGAGTACAGAAACCTTTATAAACTTTTTAATATAGTATAGGAATGCAAACTTTCTATCTTTGCATGTAGTTTTATGTAGAAGTATACATTTCTAGAATAACTTCATATTCTCTAATATTTATCTCACACACAATATGACTGTAGATTTCCAGGGGCTGTGACTGATATAATCTGATATAGCAGATTAGTTATTAGTAACTAGTTATCCCTGCTTTGTCACTGTTGGTGTATGTTTGTGGATAAGGGTTCATTGGTTGAAGAAAATAAGTTAAAGTTGTCATCATTGATATTTGGTTTCTATTTCCTCTTTAATATTTAATTTCTTATCAGAAAATTATACATAGTTTGTATATGTAATTTTTTTCTGTATCTATTATATATTATGTATATTTATTTATCTATATAGGTATACATAAATATATATGTATACGTAGAGAGCTGTATACATCACATTGCTTTGTCCTACATCTCTGTCTCTATGTATGTGTACATACATATACATGTATATGTATACATAGACAAATATACATATTTAATTGGATACATAGAGAAATAATATGTGTATGCATAGATAAATAAATATACACAATTCTACCTTGCTTTTCTTTAGTTGTTTTAGGAGGACATCTGAGTATTATAAAGCTTTAAAGAGAGAGAAATTCAGGTAAATAATGCTCACATCCTTGTTGCCCTGACATGTTACAAAACTGCCACATCAAATTTTAGCTTGTTTTTTTAACTTGAGATTCCAAGTTATTAAATTAACTCACCCAGAGCTGTCAAGAAATGTTCTGGGAAAGCAAAGCATGCTCTTTAAGACTTGAGTCACATAGTAATGAAGCATTTACTGATACCCTGAAATAGCACACATGTGGTGCAGGAAGAACATTCTTTGTCTCTAAATTTGCAAATCAAATACCTGAAGTGATAGTTTTGTGATGAAAAGTATGAATTTCACAGCCTATCTTATTAGTATTAATAATTGAAGTTTCAAATTCTGTGATATAGCCAAGACATATGTGTTATTAGCTGCAAAACTACTATTCCTGTAGAAATCAGAAACACTCTCCTATAAAATTATTTTGTTCTGATCTAAATAATAATATTTTATTGAACACCACACTACCTATATCTGCATGTTAGTCTATATTTCTTATTCAGAATGTTTTTGTAAAAAATATGAGTGTGGCTTAAATTATTTCTTTTATCAGCAATAATTTGTTTTTATTCATGTGTTTATGTATTGCATACATATATGCACAAAACACAACTTATTCAAAGACTGACTTAATAACGATAACGTAAGATTATTAAAAAAAAAATAGAGTCGGGTGAAGTGGCTCACGCCTCTAATCCCAGAACTTTGGGAGGCCAAGGAGTGTGTATCACGAGGTCAAGAGTTCAAGATCAGCCTGGCCAACATGTTGAAACCACGTCTCTACTAAAAATACAGAAATTAGTCAGGTGTAGAGGTAGATGCCTGTAATCTCAGCTACTTGGGAGGCTGAGGCAGGAGAATTTCTTGAACCCAGGAGGCAGAGGTTACAGTGAGCCGAGATCGCACCATTGCACTCCAATCTGGATGACAGAGCAAGACTGTCTTAAAATAAAATAAAATAAAAATAAAATAAAATAAAATAAAATAAAATGTGCAATTTAAGATTTTTTTGTATGTATAATTAAGTTATAACTTAACCAAAAATGGTAAGAATTTTACTTAATAATTTAGCCTATAGCTGAAATATTTTTAAATAAAAGGACATTATATTTGTTTGTCCTACATAATATCTAGGAGGAAACTGACCTATACTATCTCGTCTCATAATTTTTTTCCTTCTTTTCATTCTAGGGCATAGATTTAAGGTATAAATTATTGTCTCCATGTATTAGTATATGACAGCAACACTGCCTACTGGTAGGCTGAAATGAGGAGTTGAAAACATTTGATATTTTCCCTTATTTATCTGAATTGTCCATTCCATTGGGACCTCATGAAGAATGAGATGAAGAATAAAAATGGTTTTACATTTATAAAGCATCTAATATACACCAACTTCTCACCAGATTATTTTCTTTTATTTTCTTGAAGTAAATATTACCTATAAATACAGGAGGTATTCTAAACTGGAGAGCAGGGAAAGCTATTGCAGGTCGTGTTCATCCTGTTATTTCGCTTTTCTTACCTTCATTTTAATTACAAGCAAATATTTAGGAATACATAATATATTATTTTCCTCCTCAGATATAAAACCTAAAAAGAATTACACCGAATATCATGGGTTTCATAATTTTTTTCCAACACAAGTCTCATATATGTGTAGGTTTTGTTATATTTCCAAAATATAATTCTACTTAACAAAATTTCTGCATGAAATGTCAAAGAAACTTTTTAGATACTTGCCTGAAATCCAAGGAGCTTTTCACTAGGCTTAATGTGCCTCTGAAATTCACATTCTATGGGTTGTATCACTTTGATTCCATCTTCATAAAACACATAAAACATGTTCCCAATTCCCAGACCTTAGGAATAAAAACACATTTAAATGTTCAAAATATAATTATCATAAACCTTTACAATCAAAATTCAGTGCCTCTCATATCTTTAGCAGGGGATCAGTTTTCGAAGTTGTGTGATGTTAATAAAGCAAATCATATGGGACCCTCACTGTATACCCACACCACTTCGTGATATTACGCAGACATTACACTTCATTCTTCCTGAGCTGCAATTTAGTGGTTTCTTTAATATAATTAAACAAATGTTTCATAGTTTAAAGCAATTATAAATAGGGATATAAACTCTTGATACATAGATTATGTTGGATACCTTCCCCACTTAATGTACGTGTTGATTAAGGAATAAAAGCACTTTCTGAAGAATCAAATTTATTTTACTACTTTTATTAGAGTTCACTAGGAAAAGTTTAATTTCTTTGCAGGAGTTTAGCTCATATAAAGATTTTTAGGAAGAAAAAGACCAAATGCCCTAGATTTTGTAGAATAAATGTTTTCTTAAACTAATTTTTGTCAAAATAATTCTAAATAGAGATCTTACATATTAGTTTTAATATTGACAATTTGGGAGGTCTATTTCTATACCTTAAACCAAATGAAGATCTTTGAAAAATCTTAATTTAATGTTTAAATCACACTTTTCTTTTTCACACTACAGATCTGGATGTGTGGTATCGCAGAAATTCATCTCCCCCGACTTTCTAAATCCATGTCTAAATGGGTGCAGGAGGCGAGTTTGAAACATGTGTAGGTTAACTAAAGCCTGAGCCCAGGGAACTTCTGCGTACTCATGAACACCTGTTCTCTTTGTTTCCTCTGCTTCTTCTCTGTTCCAATGTGGTCAGTCCTGAGCTCTTGTAATCCTTCCTTTTCTGGTCCTCGCCTATATAGCTCTTTTGACCTGTTGTATTGGTTTACACAGTCAAATTTATTCAATATAATTATATCTTACATAATTCAGTGATAGCATGTTTTCTTTAAAAGATAACAATAATATTAAAATCTTGATTGGAAAATCAAACCATTGTTGCTTACAATGTTTACATTCTAAAAACATCGGTAAAGGGAAAGATAATTTATTTAAATAAAAAATAATTTTCTAAGCATTATTATTATTTTTTTCAATTGTGATCTCCTGCAAGGTTCAGCCTGGGCTTTCCATCTATTGATAAACACAATAACAGTTTGTTGATTTGTAAAACATATGTGTTTATTGAACTTAAGTCATATTTCATCTTACATCTTATATGTTTCTAGGGAATACTTATGATCATAAATAATAGCTGACTACTAAATTTTATTTTATTTTTCCATATAACTATGTATCCATATATTCCTAAGATTTAGAGAAAAATGTATACAAACTGAACTATTATTTCATTCATGTTTATACATAGTCTGCATACAATTTTTCTTTTGGCACATGAAATTATTTATAATACTACATATATACTTTAAATGACTCCAGGTTGTTTGATACATCTTATTATTTTATAAACAATTCTCAGTACTTCTATTTTAATAGATGTAAGCTTTAATAGTTAATTATCCATTATAATTCCAGAGAGCAATACATAAAGATGGAATATTCCTGAACAGTAGCAGAAGTGGCAAGAACTCATCATGTTTTTTATAAAATAAAATTTAGTAGTCAGCTATTATTTATAATCATAGTTGTGTTTAAAGGAATATAAATATTACATGCACAAAAGAGAAAGCCGAAACAAAGCACATAAGTATTTATGCAAAAGCTTTTTCATTTGTATCAGCAAAGCCTCAATGCAAACACTAACAAATCAATAACTATCAATTTAACATTACTGGTTTCTGAATATTGTTGTTGAAACTTATAAATGTAACAAAGTCATAATGTGGTGTCTGATTTTCATTTGTATCTGTTACATACTATGTTTGATTTTTATTACTAAGCTCTTAACATTTTTCAGTGAATGTGACTACCTTTCTTTAACTTCGCCGAAATACTGTTCGACAATTATGAATTTGAATGTGTTTGGGCCTGACAGCTACTTTAAAGTCCAGATTGTTTGTCATGTTTCTTGAAATCTTTCCTTCCCTTACTGCTATGCATACTTTTATTAGGTTGTTTTACTGTATTCTACACAGAAAAGAGTCAGTGGGATTCCACTATAATTTGTTGCACTGGTGGAATTTGTGAGCTATATTTTCCACTAAATACCACTTAATCCATCCAAATCACTCTTTTAGGTTCTAGAGTATATTTTCTTGCTTTTTAAAATATGAATTACACATGAAGATTTTTACAAAGCATAAACCACTTTTCAGGTTAAAAGTTACTGAAGAAATACAGATACTATTAGTTAAGATTTAGTTTTTTTTGACTCTTTTCAATGAGACTATAACTTCTTAGTGCTTATGAAACAGTAATGCCAACAAATTACTAAATACAACTAGATTAATTAAAATGGCAATTATAAAATAAATGCCTATATATTGGTAACTCAGCCTATGAAATAAAACTTTTCATAAGACTCATTCACAAGACTTGATATTTTGCCATTTACATTTTTGCAAGGCATTATTTTCTTCCTCATAAGTTTTATTTAGAATTTTTGCAGCAGAATTTATGATCTCAACATATGACCTGATACGTTTCTCATTCAATTTGCTGCTTTGATATTGTGCACATATAAATTTATTAAGATTATCCTCAGCAAAGAGGAATATAAATGACCTGATGATGGAGATGTTGGAAACTGAAGACAAGTATGCACATTTTCATTTGGGACATTCATTACCTTTATGTGTAAAAATAAAATAATATATTTGTATATATTTTTACTAACTACTAAATTTATATATATTATATTTTTTTGACAAGTGTAGGGATAAGAAGATAAGACAAAGAGAGATGAGAAATTTCATTCTCTGCATTTAGACAGATCAGAGGCAAATCATAGCTCTAGCTCTTGCGCTTTTACTGTGAGAATGTTAATTAGACTGTGTGATAATTCCCCATATCAAATTTAAAGATAATTATACTATGTCATGCAGCTGTTGTAAGCTTTCAATTAGGTAGAGAATGTAAAATATTTAGGAGAGTAACTCGCACAATGCAAGATTTCAAAGAAATGGTAACTTTATTTATTTATTTATTTATTTATTTATTTACTTACTTATTTATTTTTTGCAGATATCTATTCCTTATAACACTACTAAAAAAAGCAAATGGTGACATGGTATATAACCAGAATTTGATAACTATTCTCACTTCTCCTCAAACCCATGCTGTGGAATATAATGCTATTTAAATTTTCTGTGATATAAAATGTTAAGTTCTGTTTTCCCAGAATCCTTGAGCCAGCTAGAAGATCAACTTTATTTTCTTGTGGAGCATTTCTTAAATTTGGCCCTTTTAGGGAGGCTGCCAAGCCCAAACCGTTTTCCTAATACTACTAAGATGTCATTCACAGTTTTTCTTGCATTATTATTTTTTTAAATGTAGGGTTTAGTTTTCAACAGGCTACATGAAGTATAATGTTATGTGAGATATCACAACAATTCAATGCAGAAGCAGATGTAAGAACCCAGCATCTTCTATTAAGTCAGAAAGTTAAAGGATTTGCAAAATGTAAACGATGTATTACCTTTTAGCTTTTTGAAAACGTAGCTTTAAAATGATAATATGCTATTTATGGCTCCATGTAATGGGTTTATTAGGGCTATTTTAACAAGTTAATAAATGCATATTTTAAATTTTTCTATTTGCATTTCTAATACTAAATATTAGTAGATAGAAATGCCCCCTCCCCCGCCAAATACAAAGGTCTCTAAGTTCTCAATATTTAAGTGTGTAAAGGGATCCTGAGTCTCAAACAGTTTGAGTAGTGGTGAACATTACTTCTGTCTTCATGAATGCATTGTGGTGAATTATATTACAGACATCAGTGACTTCAGTGAAAGATTCTACACTACTCTAGCCACAGTAAAGATCGGGAACATGTGCACCTTTTTTTTTTTTTTTTTTTTTTTTCCTATTTCAGGCTCTAGTGAAGGCAGACACAAACACTTTTTTTTTTTTTGGGGGGGGGTTGTTAATCTAACAGAGTATAGTGACTCTAGATGTTATCCATAATTTGTTTCCTCCTTGAGAGCTTTCTTTCTGGTTTTTCTTTCTATATACAGAAAAGACATAAGCAAGAATTACTCCTGCAGTCTTACAAGACAGAAGTATTTCCCAGAGGATTTTCTAATCAATATTGTACCCTTAAATACATGAAATGGACTGAAAAAAAAATGGATATAATGCACATTCCTATCTCGATCCTTTGGGAATGGGAACCACTCAAAAACAGTAGTGTATTGTGAAATATAGTTATACTACTTATTATATACAGTGGATATATACCATGTAATTTATTTCAGCAATACAATTCGATTAATATCTGATTATTGGATGCATGTTTATGTGCATCATAAAAAAGATTTTATTGTGATGTTTTTCTTCCTCTGACTTAATTGTCATTAGTTTGGCATTCATGTTATAGTCCACGAGAAGTTGTAAATATGATGTAGTGATTTGGTAGCCAATCAAAGGTGTTTCAATAAATTATGGTGTTACACAAAATCCTTCATTGGTGGATATTATCCTTTTTACTTTCAAGTGATCCTAAAGGTATGCATATCTTTGAAATATAGAAGAAATCTCCCCCCTTTAGATAAAGAATAATATAGGCAAGAATAGACTGTCTGCATTGCATTTCCCACTGAATAACTCAGCACGGATAGACTTTTGGTTCATGAAAGTTCTCATTCACTATATCCCGACTTTGGAGATAAAATTGTCTTTGTACACAGAGCAAAATCATATCATTGCACTACAATAAAGTCTTTATATTATGTTCAACTATAACAATACTTGATTATCCTTTCATTCTTGCTAAAAAAATTTTTGGGAGTGAGTGTGTCAAGCTCTTTTTTAGACCCTGTTAATCCAGGAAGTGGGCACCATCTGACCACTATGTATACTGGCCAGGGTGATATTATCTAAAACCAGTCCTTTTGAGTAAATATACAATCTCCTTAACTTCTAAAGATGTACTGAAAAAAACTGAATGGACATCTTCATTATTAACTTCACACACTAATTAGCAGAGCAAATGTTATAATATAATAGAATATTTGTTTGCATTATAAATGGCATTGGTTGCAATCATACATAATTATATCTATGCTCACCATGTGTATCACACATGTATGTATATAATTTAAGCCAGTGTCATCATATGCCTGTATGTACATGTGCACATGTATAGATATCGCTGCTAATGGATATCTCTTGCAAGATCACATTTTTGATTTAAAAATTGTAAAATGATTTAGAAAGCTTAGATTGACTTAAGTTTTTAGCAGACAGGTTAGTGAAATGGCCAGTGGAAATAACAACTGATTGATTGTGATTTAATTTAACTGGCATCATGTACTAGCCATTAGAAAGCATAGTCTTCCCCTCCCCCGAAATGCTATGACTAAATCTCATGTATTCAGAAGACTTATTCTGCAAAGGGTATTTTTCTTTTTATGTATTTTATGTTATTACTGCTGTAGGCTCTGTTATTTTTGAGACAGGATATTGCTCTGTCACTCAATTTGGACAGCGGTGTGGGTGGGATAGAGGGCAGTGGAGTGATCACTGCAGCCTTGAGCTCCAGAGCTCAGGAGATCCTCCCACCTCAGTCTTCTGAGTAGCTGTGATTACAGGCATGAGTCATCAAGTCCGGCTAATTTTTTTTTTTTTTTTTTACTTTTTTGTAGAGACAGGTTTTTGCTATGTTGCCTAGGCTATTCTCAAACTCCTGGCCTCAAGCCATCTTCCCTCTTCGGCCTCCGAAATTGCTAGGATTAAAGGTATCAGGCACCACATCTTGACCTTTTTCATTTTACATATTATTTCAGTATTATTTTGAGGTAGTAATTGTTTTGTTTTAGTTCCATAGGTTTTTGTGGCACAGGTGGTATTTGGTTACATGAGTAAGTTCTTTAGTGGTGATTTGTGAGATTTTGGTGCACCCATCTCCCAAGCAGTATACACTGAACCCAGTTTGTAGTCTTCTATTCTTTTTCTGTAAAAAAATAGTTATACCAGAGGTTTTTGAACCACACTTAGTAGCCATATATTCTTCTGTATTTCCCAACCTCCCTGACAGTGTGGTAATGAAATTTTTCGTGGGTAATGAAATTTTTAAATAATTTTAGGCTGAAGAAGTTAAGTTGGCCTGTTTTTAAATCTGTTTTCCCCCAACTGGATGACATTGGAAACCTTGTATTACAGATTATGAAACTAATCATGAAGTGTAATGTAATGTATTAACTTTGTTGTACAATTTCACTCCATTTCTATTTGTATTTTTTTTGGTTCAGTGTTGGCCCAACTAAATAGTGATTTATTTTTTATGTTTCTATCACATATTTTTGTGTGAATAGATACATAAATATTTATAAAGAATAAAAAAGGCAATTTTCCTGAATATGAAACTTTTTTTCTGCCTTTAAATTATTCAAATATATGAAGCCGGTGTTTCCCAAAGTATGTTATGTTCTACTCAATATTGATCCTGGGGATATTCATCAAAGTAATTCATGTGCTAATAAATTTTAAAAATTCCATGTTATATACTGACTCATCCTGAACCTCTCTTTGAAGACTGAAACTAGCATATGCAAAATTTATTAAATCCTTCAATGAATCAAATAATTTAAATTAGTGTCATTCAGTGCCTATATGATCCAAAACATGTATTATAAACTTAGACCTCATAACATAAACTAATTACCCACAAAATAAACGTTAGAAAATACTTTATTAAATTATATTTAATTATAAATATCATATATATACTGAAAATGAAAACCAATCACACTGAATATTTTAATGTGTATGTAAAATACATATTAATGCATGTATATTTATATGTATTATATCTATTATTTAATATACAGTAAAACTACTTTTTGGTAAGAATGGTTCAGGCTTGAACCTTCTAGAGTGAAAGTTTCTTTAGAGCAGATATTAGATCTTATTCATCTATGAATTTCCAATGTTTTCAAAGTGTTTTAATTTAATATGCTGTTTAAAATATTTGTCAATAAGTAAGTGAGATATTTCATCTATTAATATTGTCACTTTATACTCCTGTAAAACATAAAGATGAGTAGAAAAGCTGAAAGTGGAACCCAGAGATGCAGAGGACATTGCGTTCCAAGATTATATATTGACGAGATTGATAAGACAATACATATTAAATTCAGTTAAATTTATTTAGATTATGAACTCTTCACTAGATTCTGATGCTCATGTTTTAAAAAATAATTTTATAATTATTAATGTAAAAATAACATAGGTTTACCGTTTATAGATGAGTTAAATGGCATTATAGGAGAAATTATCATTTCAACTCTTTCCATTATTGGCCTTAAACGACCTACATTCTAGGGTTCTATAATTTGTTCTCTCTGAGATAGATTTTTCTTGGCTATGGTAAAGAGGTAAATATATAAATATAAAACACTGCTAGAATGAAGTGTATCTCAGAAATATGTAGCTCATATTTGTTTTATTCTAAATTATAAAAATGGAGAGAATTTCCTTAAAAAATTTAGTTACCTATAATTTTAATTATTTGTATGAGATGCTTATACCCAATGATGGGGTTCAGTGATTCCTCAAGCCAGTCTATTTTCTCTGGTCACCATTATTACTATTAGTACATGCAATCATTTTTATTGTAATGCCTTGCCAATAATTGCGGCATTATAAAATAACTTACAGATGTCTATGAATCAAAATCAAATATGATGTCTTCTTTAATCTATTTTTAAAATGTTTCCTATTACAAGAAACAACAAGTACTCTTATGATAACTGTATGTAGAAAAAAAGACTTTAATAATTTACCCAAAGACACACACTTATTTTATGTGACTTAAAGTATCTGTAAAATATACCATATATCTATTTTTGTCAAGAACATTTTATGTGTCAAATGAAACAGTGACTCATAAGAACATTATTCTTGATGGAGAATAATTACTGAGGGAATAAATTTCCAAAAACTAATAGAATACCTTTTTAAATAGAAAATAATGTGGTTTTATATAATGAATTTCATCATGATTTTAATTAATTTGGAAGCTTCTATTCTATACTTTTGAGGGTGGCCTGGAGTATAGTTATTACATATTAAAAATTACTACAAACTAACAATGTTCATGGTGGTTATCGAAGTTAATACATAAGAAAAAGTTGTTCCACATACTTTAAATTGATTTACATAGCACAGATTTGTGAGGTGAGTGCCAACTCTATTTCGAATATTGTATTGGAAGCATCTGACTCAGCAAGGTAAAATAACTCATCCAAATTTTCCCAGCAATTAACCATCAGAGCCAGATCTGTAGTATTTGGTCTCTGACTCGTTAGGTGTTATTCCTTCCATCACAATGATAAAATAAAATCAATTTTTAAAATGCTCAGAGAACTCTTGCCCAGAGGGAAGACAATATAATTAAATGTGTTTAATAGATATTATCACGCTTGTAATCCCAGCACTTTGGGAGGCTGAGGAGGGCAGATCACCTGAGGTCAGGAGTTCGTGACCAGCCTTGTCAACATGGTGAAACCCTGTCTCTACTAAAAACACAAAAATTAGCTGGGCATGGTGGCAGGCCCTGTAACCCCAGCTACTGGGGAGGCTAAGGCAGGAGAACTGCTTGAACCCTGGAGGCGGATGTTGCGGTGAGCCGAGATCGCACCATTGAACTCCAGCCTGGGCAACAAGAGTGAAACTCCATCTCAAATAAATAAATATATAAATAAGTAAGTACTGATACGTCAAGACTACTTTCAGTAACGACTGAATTATTATATTTAAAGGTGAAATATTTGAAGTGGAATAAAAATGGAGGGTATAGTTACACTGGAACTTCTTTAATAAACCCAGGTTTTAATGGAGCTCATACAAAAGATTTAAGGAGCAACAAGTTCTAAGAGAGAGAGAGAAAAAATAAGTGCACTGCTTCATCCTTGAGTACAGAATTGAGATGGCTAAATTCCGGAATTACTTGAGGCTTTGAGACTGGCTTTCACAGGAAACAGTGACTTGGGTTCCTACTGGAAGCTATAACCAGGGAAGAGAAATTTTGTCTAAAGTGGGTTGTGAAGACAATTTTTGGCCATTGTTCACCAGGAGTGTAATGATGACTTTTAGACATTTTTCTCTTAATTTCATGTAACCACAATTGATGGACTATTTAAGTACCTGGGCAAATGCATTCTTCCCAGCCTTTGTGACTAAATGAAGAAAACCAATAACAATTGCAATAATACATGAAAATGGATACTGTTTATTGAGTGCTGATAATAACTAAAGAACTGATAACAACCCTACTGAGTATTAACAATTACTATACTCCTTTTTGAGATAAGAAGATCGTGCAGGGTAACTTGCCCTATTGTTTGTAAACTTGAAAGACTACATTTGAATCCAGGCCCTTCAAATGTAACCTAGATTTTAATATAATTTATTATATTCCCTTGATAAGGCACAGTTTTTATAAATATTCTTACTCTGCGTTAATCAGAGTTTATTATGTAAATTATGTTTAACTGAGATTGTTTTTATTTCTTTGATGTAATTTTATACTCTTAAAGCATTTCAATATATCGCAACATATCAGGAATTAATCAAGCTGATGAGAAGTGATAAATGTGTAATGGTAGCAGGCTTACACAAGAATATTGAAATACCATCAACTGAAATATTGAATCAAAATAAAAAAGGTAATTAATGATACAAAAGATAATCAACAAATCTAATAATAATCAAGCAAAATTGTCACAACAACGTAAAAATAATTCAACTTAGTACCTTCTTCTCTCCATAATATGTTAGCTACTGCAGCATGTTGAAAGAAAAAGAAAAAGAAAAATGAGTAAAGGGAGCTTTTGCTATATAGTAATATAAACATTATTAAAGAGGTCAAAGTATCTGTGATAGAATGTGTATATAAACATAGTGAAGTTAATTCAGTGAGCTACTTTAAATTAACAAAACAATAGCATGTTGGAATTAACTAATAATGCTTTGTACATTTTTTGATATAGACAATTCTTATTTGGAATACAGACTTTGTTAATAAACAAAGAACATTTTACTCTGCATTGAAAAAAACAGGAAGCTTAAGTTAGTTTAATTGAAATGTATTTTTAGAGCAAGTTTTGGTAGTTAAAACTATTAGGCTGACAGTTTAAGCTACTAATAGCAAAAGTTATACTCTTAAATTTTGCAATAATCACAATATATAATATTTTTACATAATATGAAATATTCCTGAACAAGAAGAGTTCTTGTAAATCCAAGATCTTGAACACCAAATTGGACTATTTTTAAGGAGTATATATTTTACTGTTTTAAAACAGACAGAAATAGATCTAAGTATACTTTGCTTCTTTCAGTACATATTGAATTGTTCTTGAACAACAGGTTTCAAAAATATTATATAGCGACTTAATCAGTAAAGAGCTAATATATTAAGATAGAAATTAAGAAAAAAATCCAATTGACATTATTCTGAGGGAAATGCCTGCCTCTTTAATAATTCAAAGTTACAATAACACTATAAGTTCTTAAAGCAAAATCATAAAAGTGTAACTAATAGAAAATCTCATACACAGCAATTACTTCCAGCATTTTGACCATATTAAAACTTAATGACTTTTTTTTTTTTCAACTGAACCCACATGTGCATGTTTCAGAGCCAAGAATGAAGTCTAGCACTCCTCACTTACAGCTTAAGGCCCGAGTCATGCAGTTTTCAGCATCTGCTATATTTCTTCAAAAAATTAATTATTAATGGTAAACATTTACAATTTTTAGTTTTTAAATTCCTTAATGACATTTATTCAAACCTAAATACATGATGTATGCATTCCTGTAGCACATTTTGTGCTGTTGTTCTTATGCCTGCAGTGCACTTTGAACATATAAGAAAAAAGTATAACTTTCAATTATGAGATGAACAAGTTCTGAACATGTAATGTACAATGTGGGTGGTGATGGATGTGTTAATTGTCATAATCATTACATAATATATACATCATCTTTTCATCTTAAACATATTCAGTCTTTGTCAACTAAATATGTTATAAAATGATAAAAGGACAAATCCTATTCTCAAGGAGAGGTTATAGACACAGGAGGAAAGAGAACCATGAAAACAAATAGAAACAAACATGTAATAAATGAGGGGGAAGCAGCAAATTTCAAATTCAGCAAATGCAGACAAGACAGAATGATCATCTATGAAAAGAGGTTGGATACTGGAGGGAGAGCTTCATTGAGATGCTGATGCACAAGAAATGTAATATTACCAAAGCTTTCAAGAGTGCTGTGTAGTGTAGGGGGCTAGAGAGGTTATTCCACACATGACGAAAAGAAAATATGTTCAAGGTATATCAACCAGAAACATCAGAACATATTGAGAGAACGTGTCAAGTAATTTGGTATATTTGGCGTGTAAGACTGGTTTAAAAAGATAAAGCTGGATAATTTATTCATGATAACATCAAGTAAGTCTGCACACACAATGCAAAAGAAATGGACTTTTTTGCAGTTTTAGGAAAGGTTGAACTATGATTAGTCTTAGACTTCTTTCTCTGGCCTATAAAAAAACCACAAAGCATGTATGTCCTTATATCTCCCTCCACTCACTTAGTACCAATTGAGTACCTAGCGTGTGTTAGACGTATTCAGCACTACCATACACAGGTTAGAACAGGCAATCTCTGTGCCCATAGAGCCTATATTCTAATCAGGCAGACAAAAAGTAATCAAATGATGACAGAAAAAAATTCGAAGTTATGAATTTAGTGTGTTACAGAAGAGAAAAACATAGTAATGTGAATGCATTTGTTGGGTGGATTAGACATTGTTAAACAGGGCGAACTTCTCTAATTATGATCAAGGTGAAGTCTGAGAAATAAGCAAGAATAAACTAAGTGAAGGGTATGATTCAATTTCCAGATAGAAAAAAAGCATGTGAAAAATTCTAGTGGCATATCAAAGCACCATTATTTTAAAGGAGTAAGGACATTAGAACTAGGGACAGAGACATTTTTAAGATTGGCAGTCATTTAGGAATAAATACCAAAAAATACAGACTTTGTAATACTAATATCAGATAAGATAAAATTCAAGGCCCTACATACTGAATTTAAAATTACATAAGCTGAAACATAGTATGAAAATAGGAGACAGAAACTGTTAAGGTTGGATGTAAAATAAATAAATCCACAATCATGGTCTGTTTCTTTAACATATCACTCTCAGTATTTGAAAAATGAAGAAAAATAAAGACAAAGTTTCAACAATACAATTATCGACATTGAATTACGGTATTTACAACGATTGTTTTACTACACAAACAGAAAGCATTTGCCAATTTTATTGACAGATCTACAAGGGTGGCCACAAAGGAAACTACAAAACAAAAAGCCTGGCTCTACTCTGCAAATATGTTCCAGTAAGCAGAGATTGTTTCTGCATTTTCAGACAACAAAGTAAACATGCAAATATACAAATCTTCAAACCCACAAAATTCATCAATAAATTGAATATTTTTAAAAACCAAATATAACCACAATTTATATAAAACATAACAAAAAAAGAAAATTAACCATGTGGGCCCAAAGAGTGTTAGAAAAAGGATAATGCATGGACTGAACTGAAGCACCACTGACCAAACAAGACAGACAGACAGAGAGAGAGAGAGACAGGAAGAGGAGGAGGAGGAGAAAGAGGGCCTTTTGATGGGTTGGGGGGAGTAGGGAGAGGGTCAGGAAAAATAACTAATGGGTACTTGGCTTAATACCAGGGTGACTCCTCAAAGACGTAAAAAAAAGAAAAACTGTTTGACACAACAATCCCATTACTGAGTATATACCCAAACGTATATAAATGTATATAAATCATTCCATTATAAAGACACATGAGCACATATATTCATTGCAGCACTATTCACAATAGCAAAGATATGGAATCAACCTAAATGCCCATCAATGGTAGATTGGGTAGAGAAAATGTGGAATATATATACCATGGAATACTATGCAGTCATCAAAAATAATGGAATCATGTCCTTTCTAGGAACTTGAATGGAGCTGGAGGCCATTATCCTTAGCAAACTAATGCAGGAACAGAAAAAGAAATACATGTTCTCACCTATAAGTGGGAGTTAAATGGTGAGAACACATGGAAACATAAAAGAGAATACACTGAGGCCTATTGGAGTATGGTGGATAGGAGGAAGGAGAATATAAAGAAAAGTAACTCATGGGCACTAGATTAATACTTGGATGATGAAGTAATCTGTACAACAAACCCCCCATAACACACATTTACCTACGTAACAAATCTGAATATATGCCCCTGAACTTCAAATTTTAACAAAAAGAAATTAATTTAATACATCATATTAGTTTGTCAGTTAAGGACTGTCAATAGAATTTAACCAAATAAAAATGCAATCTGATAAAATACATAGCATATTACTAAGTATAATATAAATTCTCTTAGTAAACTAATAAACTAAGAATAGAGTTTTTTATTAATTTAAATAATACATTTAAATTAATAAATTAATTAACAAAAAACTAACATATGCCAGAATAATAAATAAGTGATCATCAATGGATGATTGGATAAAGAACGTATTACGCACGTGCACGCACACACACACACACACACCCCATGGAATACTATTCAGTCATAAAAGGAAATGAAATCTTGTCTTTTGCAGTAACATGGATGGAACCACAGGCCAGTATCCTAAACGAAATAACCCAGAAACAGAAATTCAAATATTGAATATTCTCACTTACAAGTGAGAGCTAGAAAATGGGTACACATGGACATAAAAAGGAAATAATAGACATTAGTGGTAGGGTTGGAAGTGGGAGAAGAATAAAAGGTGACATATTGGGTACAATGTTTACTATTCAGGTGATAGTTACACTAAAAGTCTAGACTTCACCACTAGGCAATAGATCCATGTAACAAAACTGCACTTGTACTCCCTAAATCTATAAAAGTGAATTTTTAAAAATAGATAAATTACTAAATGGAGAATCAAAATATTGAATTATGATTATTTAAAATGAATTTTTCATGGGTTGAGCAATTCATTAATCTAAGAAACAAATATAAATTGTATAAATAGTATAAATAGAAGACAATCAAAATTTGAAGGCAAAATGAGTCACAAAAGATTAAAGTAAAAGTACAAATGAAGTTCATAAGATCTATTATTTAGCAAGATACAAGATAAATATCCAATTTCTATATTTTTCTTCTGTAAGAATAAGACGCAAAATAAAATTTTGTTTACAATAGCTTAAAAGCATAATATATTGATGGTTTACTAGAATATAGAAATTGTAGCAAATTAGCAGCCACTAAAAATAAGCTAGATGGGAATATAAACTATTCCTAGATAAAGGTAACAAATACTGTGTAGATAAAATGCATTCTGCAATTAGTTAACTTAAAAATCATATATATTGTTATTGTCTTTTTAAAACATATTCCATTTTATATACAGAGTTAGAACGTGTATTAAATTAAAAAAAAACAAACTCAAATTTAATTGCCCTGGTGTAATAACACATTCTCTCTCTGTTTGTTTCTTTGTTTGTTTGGGAGTTGGTTATTTGTTACCCAGGCTGGAGTGGAATGGCGAGATCTCAGCTCACTGCCATCTCCACGTACTGGGTTCAAGAGATTCTCCTACCTCAGCCTCTCGAATAGCTGGGAATACAGGCTCCCGCCACCACATCCAGCCTTTTTTTTTTTTTTTTTGTATTTTTAGTAGAGATGGGATTTCACCATGTTGTTCAGGT